AACAGGATTTGGCTCTAGTGTAATTTAAAGCTTGAATTTGATATAGGATTTATATAGCTAGAAAGGCTTGTAGAGGATGTTAGAAAGGCAGGAAAGCTAGGGTCGGAATTCAGACCCCAGAACCTTCTTTTGGTACTAATTAAGTATGAGTTCAATAAAAGAATATTTTCTAAGAAATATGGTTTCTAATTGTTATTGTTCGAGTTTTAAAATATACATAAAGGCATACTTTCACTCTTAATTAAAGAAATATTTGCTCTTTGAATTCTATTTTGAAATAAAGATCACAAATTTACGTTGCTTTTATAATAAATGCCTAATAACCTTAAAAATATCAGTTAAACTACACCAATGCTTATATTGTCTTCTGATCAATAATAAAATTATATATATAAAAATTTTATCATCTTAATATTATTACTTGAAATGTGAGAGAGATAGTTATACAGTATTCTACTTTTTGGATGTGGCTATGATAATTTTGAAAATCCTATTTTGGGAGGTCGAATCATATAATATCAATTATAAATATCTGATATAGTATTTGATAAATTCATAATAATAAAATGCATAGAAAGTAAATTTTGTTTACATAAGCGTATTTAATCTCAGCCTAGCCCTAATTTAAGTAACACTACTCTGAGGTTAATGCAATAAAATATTAAAATTTACACTAATTTATTAATTCCTAAAATTGGCAATTGAGACCAACTATGTTACTTTAGCATGTGTACTGTCAAAGACAAAATCACCAAAACTGCCATGTTAAAATTAATATTACAAGGCAAAAAACATAACTAAGACCCGAACCAAAGCTTCTAGGAAATGGTGGCTAAGATCATAGCTGAAATGTGACAAAATGGTGCCAAAAAGCCACAAAAAAAAGAAAAATTGGATTGGACTAATTTAGGCTTGGGGCAGTGCTAAAAGCTTAGCTATAGAGAGCAAAGCTTTGCTGGCACAGCATGGTGTGAAGTGGCTTGGGTTTAGATTAGAAAAGTTCTTTTTCTTTAATTCTTCTCCTGTATATAAATTGTTATAAATATGGGCTCTTTTCGTCCTCTAATAAAGAGACAATCAAGTGTGTTTAAATAATAAAAAAAAACGATTGTTTAAAACCCACAATATACCCGATTTTAGCCTTAACTTGCCAAATTGTACTGCTTCTACTAATTGAGTATATTGAGAGGTGTGGGTTGGGTTTGTGTGTTTGGATAATAGTTTGGTGTGTGTTGTTGCCTATTTAGCCTCCGATAGTATGTACAAACCTAAAATATAAACAATTGAAAGATCTTTAAGTTTTTTATCAAAAATGGAACCCGGGGAGCTTTTGAATCTTTGGTTATAGTATTGTCTAAAGCTATTTTATATTCCTTTATTTCTTTTTCTAGGCTTTCTATTAAAATATTTGTAGATTGATTGAAAGTTTTCTGTTGTTTTCAACGATGAATTGGCTTGAGAGTACTTTGAGAGTGATACTTATATTAGATATAACGTTTTAATAAAGAAAAAGTATGACAGCTTTTGTTAATATTTTCTCACCTACAAGACTGACAAAGTTTTCATGCTTAGGCTGATCAATGTTTGTAGCTAGTTCCTTTGCCCTTTGGTACTAATATGGTTGTCTTCAATGTTATTGCTGAGAGCCTTGGCTAATAATCCATAACTATTACCATTAAGATCACTATTTGAAAGATTAGAGAAGTCACTATCATAAGGGTTACTAACAGTATATTGTAAACTTGATAATAATTAGTTTTAGAAATGAGCAAGTTTTTGATTCTATTACTTGCTTGTAGAATTGCTATTCTGATCTTTACGATTATCATTGTCCAAAAGAAGTTGGTTTGTATAATTGTTTATTTTAAATGGTCTATGATATTTCATTTTAGCTATAAAAACATTGCCAATAAAGCATTTCGGATAGTTTAAACTGCTTGTTCAAAACTATCCACATTAAAATGGTTGGGATTTATTTAAATCAAGAATAAAAATTTTAGAGAGTTATTTATATCTGATCAAATTTTATGTAACAATATAATATAAACAGACAAAACAATATAAACAAATTAAAATTTAAGATATAATTAAAAAACTAAAGGCAAAAATAAAAAGTAAAAATATCTCAAAATTTTACTAAAACTATTAGGCTACACAAAGTTAATTTTTCATTTTGCATAACATGGTTTTTCAAAATTCCAGTCAGCAGGTCAGATTTTTTTTTTTTTTCAAAAAAATTTTTTTTACTATAAATTAGTAAATTCATGCTCATAGTTAAGGCTACGCAAATTAATTTTTCATTTTGCATTACATGGAATTAAAAAATTTGGAAATTTTGTTTTTTTTTTTTTTAACAGTCTGTCAGGTTATTACAGAAAATTAAGCTCACTATCGGGTGATACCGGATAAATTTACAAAAAAAATTAAATAGCAAAAATGGAATAATTGGGGCAATTGGAACTTAAAAAAAAAAAAAAGTTTTTTTGAAAAATTGGGTCAGCAGGTTATGCAAAATGAAAAATTAACTTTGTGTAGCCTTATCTTAAAAAAAATTTTTTTTATTGATATAAAGGGTAGTGACTGAATTCATCAACTCGTGACAAATAAATAACACATAAATTGAATTATCTCTTTAGCATAATAACTACTTCTTTTTTTAGTAAAAGATGGTTTATAATATTAGTATTGTACATGCTTCTATTTAGTACCCTCTTAAATAGTACCTGGGTATAATTAAATATTTCCTTATACCTGGGTATTTTACTCCACAAAATATGGTACTTGCTTTCATAACATACTAAATTAAATTAAACTAACTTGCTATTGAAGTAATGAAATTCCATGAACGAAGTCACGGGGCATTTATTTGTCACAAGATCAGGACCCTATCCATGATGACAAATGAGTGATTAGTGAGGTTAGTATGATGTATTGAGTGATAAATAGTTTGGTAGATAGTTTAATGAATCGTATGATGGTATTGTTTGATTAATGAGCGATGGTAAGTATGAGGTCATAGAAATTGACTATATAAGGGAAAAAATTGGAAATTTGTTTGCCCTCTTTCATCTTTGCTGCTAGCTCGACTCAAGTCTAGCTTTACCCCTCACTGCTAGGGAAGAGATTGAGTAGTTGTAGACAGAATGATGTGTTGGAAGTGATCTTGGTAGCCTGGGTGTATAGCCTGGATATTGAAAGGAGAGTTTGATAGCCCAATTGAACAAATCGGATATCAAAGAGAGTGTAAAAAAAAAAAAAGCGATGCTAGAAATTAGCTGTTGACTATATGAGCAGTGAGGTAACCAAAAAAAACCCGAACATGTGAACATTGTGGCTAATATTGTCAAAATTTGTTTCATTACTGATATGTTCGAAATTAATTTATTTTGCTATCATTATTTGTAATCTATATGTAATAATATTTTCGATTTCGAATATATCAATTACATATAGATTACAAATAATGATAGTAAAATAAATTAATTTCGAACATAACAATTACATGTAAATTACAAATAATGATAATAAAATAAATTAATTTCGAACAATATCAGTAACGAAACAAAAGATCAACAATATTATCACATACCTGGATTTTTTTTGGTGGTTATGCTGGGGAAGTCAGCGAGATCCCATATAGTGTATTTTGTAGTAGGGTTTACATGATCGAGTGACAAATTAGTTTTTGTAATTTGCAATTTATAAAATTTATCAATGAATTAGTTGCCGTGACTCAATTATTTGAAAAAATAATTCAATTGAATAATTTGAGCACTTTTCTGAGTTTAATTCGTGAGCCATGAGTTTATATGAGTCTAGTCATTAATTAAGAGGTTACAGAATTAAAAAAAAAATAGCATATTTTGGAAATAAATGAGAATTTAAAAATCTTATTTGTGTATTAAAATTTTTGAAATTAGAAAATGAAATAAGAATGTTTAAAGACTCCATTTGACGAAATACGTAAAATTTCTTCGGGATTAAGTTTATTGGCACAGGGGAGTGTGATGAATAAGTATATGTTACTATATAAATAATAATAAACTAATACAATTAATTAGTAAATGCTTATTAGTCACATGAATGATTTGTCACTGCTCTGTGCCAAACGGATGAGGTCGCCTATAATTGACTAAATTCAACCCTCCAGAGGAGACCGTCCCAAATTAGAAAATGATTACCTAAGTCACCCGGACATTACACAATTTATAAAAATTTTTTTTTATTGTTTATAATACTATTGGCTCCAATTAGGGATCATTTTAAACAATTTTTTAAATGGTTTTTAAAAAATCATCAAAGTCTGAAAAATAAGTATATTAATTTTTATTCAAGCCATCGATCGCTATTATTTTTTAAATACAAAATTTGCTTATCAGCCAATACAACTAGTGATGGGACTTCTGAGTTTTTAGTTAATAATAAAAAAATTAATAATGCGTTATTAATATTATTAATAGTTCGATCATCGCTAATAATGTCGATATTAAACTACCAATAGATTTAATAAAAGTTAGTCCACCAATATTAGCAATTTTTGAGAAAATATTGACACAACTTTATATTTTTTATACATTCTGTATTAATTGGCTATGCCATATATTATTAAGTCATTCTTAGTTAATAATTTGATCAATTAATTAATAATCATTATTAATTATTAATAATTCAGGAGGTCCCATCACCTTTCATTCTACATTAGTTTTACATTCGTTAGTATTGAAAATCCAAAGTTTACAATATTGATAAGTTTTTCGAATAAATTATTTGAAGGACCAGAATCCTGTTTTTAAGTTTTTAAATTTTATATATTTCTTGGAAGCTTTTTTTATTTCAATGAATGACCTTTTAATTGGTTGACTAATCAACACATTCTTCTTCGCAATAATTACATTTTTTTGGCGAGGTGTTGTTCGATCATGAACCTGAAACATTGTTTGAAGAATTTTCTTACTCGTTTTTTTTTTAATTTTGTAATTAATTATGTCATAATGTATTAACAGATTTCTTAATATTTAAATTAATATTGATATTATCAGTTCCAATTAAAATAATTAAAGGCATAAAGATTTAAATCAATCAATTTGTTAAATAATAAATCAATTTATTAAATAATATATATATATATATATTACAATTCAAGAAATGATTTTTTCACAAATTCTAATTCCTCCATTGTCATATTGCTCGTCACTATTTCAACATTATCTACATTACTCTCAACTATATTTTCTCTTCTCTTATCAATAAACTCATTATCGCCTAATTTTTTACCAGACTTATCTTTAATGCATTGATATTTTTTTTAATTTTATTCTTAAGATAATCTAAGCATATTAAGCACTTAAATCGACACTTCTCTAAGCATTGATTATGGTAACCGTGCCCACAAGCAAGAACTTTACCACAATCTGAATAATCAATGCAACTACAATTCAAGTAGTCACATAAAATAGTTGTAAAGGGTTTCCTAGAGGTAACAAAACCTCTTGGAAGGTGATAATCCGTTATTTCGTAGCCTAAAGAATGCAACTTATATGTGTTAATATTATTAGAAGAATCTATAATTGAAGAATACTTAAAACGGGCTTGATATATCTTCTTAAATAAGCCTAAAAGTAATACAGCGCATTTTCAAGAGAGCGTGTACAATTGCTTGGGCATATATGGATATTAACAAAATATTTTTGAAAATCGTTGTCTCCGCGATGCTGAAAAATAAATCGTGCCTCCTTCTGCAATTGTTCTGCTTCAGAAAACTTGGCTGTATGTTGTTGAATAATACTGTGAACAAGCTCTACAGGACAATTGCTTAAAGAGGTGAGACAATTAGTAACCAAATCTATCAGTGGATGATTGGTATTTATCCAAAAAAAATATCTGAAAAAAACATTAAAGGTGCATGTTTATAGTTTCTTCGATCAAATCAAAGAAAAAGATCACTCCAGCAATGCATACAAGCCTCTTTATAAGCCAGCCAGTTACCTTCACGATGATGCACCGCATAGAAGTCAAGAATTAAAGGGATTAAATTACTCAAAAGATTAGTTAAATATAAAAACTCAATGTTTTTACAAACACGTCCAAACTTTAAATAAACAATATTAGCTATATTGAGCCAGGCTATGCGCATAATATAAAGAATTAAATCAATTCGCCATGGCCGTGGCGTCTTACCAAGAACCTTATTTTCACCAAAAATACTTTTGTAAATATCATTGAACAAAAGAGAATTTTTGTTAAAAATGAGTTCACGATTATTTAAAGAAACATGAAGGGGCCCCATCATAGGCAAAAATGCCGTAACGAATTGAGGAATAACTTCATTGTTGAGAAGAAGCTGGTGTGCAATAGCTTTGCAGATAAAGAACTGTCCAGGCCAATCCGCGATGACTGGTATTACGTGATTAGAAAGATACTCTCTTATTGGTTCCTGATCATGCACAATTTGAAGAGCTTTTGTATAATTTTCAACACTCTTCAAGTTACCTTCGACAAAATCAAAAAGGATAGCATCCTGTATATGTCTATCGCTTTTTTTTTCTGCCAACCTGTCATTGTAACTATGCAATTTTAGTTTTTTATAAGATTATTATTAGTAACTTTACCTATATGATCTTTTATATGATCATAATAAGAAATTCCAAGGTTGACTATAAATCGTTCATCTAGATGCTTCACAATTAACTCATCATCAACAATTTTTTGATTAAATGCCCCGTTACGTGGTATAGCTAGTATGGGGCATGGATTCATTACGATTGTCACCATATGTGCTGCCCAAGACATATCAGTAGTATCAGGCTGTTGCCGTAGAATGTGAATATTATGATAATCATCAATATTCAACATGAAAGAATTTTCAGAACAATTCTTAAGAGCCTTCTCTACATATTCTTTATGGGCTTTCAAAATTTTTTTTCTTCTTATGATCTACTGCCCTTGCGGTTGTAGTTATGCTGATATTAGCTAATGTGTTTAGACCCTCGTTGCTTGTACCTACAGAATCTAAATAGTATGCTAAGTCAAACTTAAAAGAATTAATTTTTGAATTATTTCATAATGCAAGAAGATAATATAAAAACACCATTAATCTTTTCATTCGCCCCATTGTCTGTTCACAACATTCAAAAGGTCAAGCTAATAAATGAAGTTGATCGAAAAAGTTCTTGAGACTTGGATCGATTCGTGGAAGTGATTCTCGCATTTCATCGAACGAATATATTGGAGCTTCTTTCCGCGTATGTTCTCTCTCATAAAAAATTCATGCCAAAGACCTAATAACTGCAATGAGGTTAATCATACTTACCTCCTCCTCATCTACGGCCTCTATATCCTCTCTTATTGTAGTTTCTATATCCCTTAATTCTATACTTTCTTTAATTTTAGCTTCTATCTCATCTCTAATTACGTTTTCTACATCTATTTCAATTACTTCTTCTACCTCTTCAACTACATCTTCTACCTCTTCAGCTACATCGGCTTCAACTAAATCTACAACTGCTCTATCTACATCGGCTTCAACCAAAACTTTTGTTCATTTGGCTTTTCTCAATTAATTCTCTACAAAATTCATATAACAATTATAACATAATTTGTTACCTTGTACCCAAGTTGCTTTGATCAAACCGTTGGCTTCAGCTTCTTCCCATTTATTTCCTGTTAATGGACGAAATCTACACGATTTAGTAGCTCCACATTCCATACACTTATTAGTTTTAGGCATATTTTCGTAATAAAAAATAACAACTGAATCCACTTGAATCCACCGATCTTATTAAAATATAGTGTGAAAGCTTCAAGTTTGCTTAGTGCGTTCGTCACGTTTTATAGAAGTGATAGATTACCCGAGGCCCCTAAAAAAGTAAAAAAGTGGCATAAAACATATAAAAAAATTTTTTGATCCTTGTGTAACCATATCGGAATTTTTACCTAATTTAGACGGTCTCCCCTGGAATCCAACCCTGGTAGTTCAAATCTATCGGAAAACGAAATAAAAATTGATGCAATCTTACTTAAAACAACGTCACCTATTTTGATCAAATTTAGATTTCCGCATTTTAACTCTGAAACCTTTTAATATACAAATTGCTATTAAAATAAACATAATAACTTCAAAAATGATCACTTTAGAATATTCGTTATACCTGTTCCGCGTCATTTTTCGAGAATTTAAAAGTAAAGTACTGTATCTGAAAGTCTAATTCTAGTTTCTAATATTTGTCTACTTTTTACACCTATTACAACTTGAACTTCTGTATTTAATATTTGTTTTTTTAGTGCATATTTTGTTTTTCTGTTGTCTTTAATACTTTTCATTTTATAATTAATCTCCATGTAATCTGTATCAATTAATGTACTTAGTGTAGAAGCATAAAGCTTGTTATTTATCCATACGAATGATTGATATGATTTAAAATTATCAATGCATAATTTATGAATATTTTGTCGACATTGTGTTCGTGAATAAATATCAAAGTTCATTATTGAAGTATTGATATTTATATAATTTTGATTAGCTTTTTCTCGAAAAAAATTAATCAAATCATCAATTGTATAAATATTTTGTGTAGCTTCGCCTTCTGAAAACCATCTAGATAATACACCAAAATGACTATCGATGATATTCTTCCCATGGTACTCTGTAAAATAATTTAAATAAATTTTCCTTGCCATACTGAAGGTATATGCCGAGAAAAAAATCTATCAATTCAGCAGAACGAAAGTGAGGTCCGCAATCTAACCAAAAACAAGCTTCATGAAACCTTGACATAAACTAAGAAGCTTTGTAATACAGTCTATAACGAATGATGTATCATGACTCAAAACATCAGAAAAGTAATCAAAATATTGTGTATGTAAGCTTTGATCAGATTCACGATAATGTACTGCAAATCTGAGAACAGATACTTGAGTTTTTTCGAAAAAATTATTTCCAGTCTCGACTGGACTACCCCCGATTCTAATATTTTCCTTGAAATCCATCACAATTACACAGGAAGAAGTTGTTGTACGTTCAATTGATTGCTTATAGAAACAAGTCTGTTATGCCCATTTTGTTGATTTGTTTCAAAGAGTCAAAGAGTTACGAGAAGAAAAGAAACATTTCTATAATGGCGTATATATATGCAGCGAATTAAACATAACTACAATAGTAAATATGCAACAGTGTAACCGTAGTACAAGATTAACAAAGCATAATTAATAACAATTATTTATTACTGTATTACGTTAAATTTAGAATTAGTTAAGAGGTTATATCGATATGGCGCGTATTCATTTAGAATTTAGAAATATGTACGTAATATCTGTACATACGTGCATTTATTGCCATAAAATATCAATTATGAACATTTTTAAATTATTAATCAAAATTTAAATGAAAGCCGCCATTCCGAACAACACCAGAATCGGTACATTACTTCCTAATACAAAAAAATCTGATAT